AAGAAGAAGAAGAAGAAGAAGAAGAAGAAGAAGAAGAAGAAGAAGAAGAAGAAGAAGAAGAAGAAGAAGAAGAAGAAGAAGAAGAAGAAGAAGAAGAAGAAGAAGAAGAAGAAGAAGAAGAAGAAGAAGAAGAAGAAGAAGAAGAAGAAGAAGAAGAAGAAGAAGAAGAAGAAGAGATTGTAAGATGGCACTCTGAACCAATGTGAATAAGCTTCCCTTGAATTACTTCATGTTCATTAGCTAAAAGTTTTTCCTAGTTGAGCTAATACAATTATTTTATTTTGTTAAATTTGTTTGCCACCCATTTTGCCATGAGGCAACTTTAGACAGTTTACATTAAAAATGGTAAAAACTATAAATATATACAGCAAGGTTTGTATATATTTGGGCAATAATAGTCTTAGGAGTTAGGGAAGAATCTCCAGTAACCTTGTGCAAAACTGATTTTGTATGTTTCTAAAAATTTTATCAAGTGGGCATTCCACTCTCTCTTTTCTGCTCCAAACAACATCTATTCTATTCTGACAGAATAGTTTTTATGTAGAATCTATCAATCTGACTCCATTTCTAGGGCAACCTTTCATATCACTGCAATGCATTTTGCTTACAGCTGCCCTTGAAGACCATTCATAAGCTTCAGCTGGTGCAAAATGTGGTGATTTGGGCAATTATGTGCATTCCTCATTTGGCACATGCAACACCTCTGCCAGTAACCTTCTGAGTTAAGTCTGAGATACTGGAGGTAGCCTATTAGGCAAGATTTTTTTTATTTTCTTAGGCAAGAAAAACCAAGTGCACAGGTATAGAATAAGTGGTACCTGGCTCAACAGCAATAACTATGAGAGGGATCTAGAAGTCCTAGTGAACAACCACTTAAGCATGAGCTAGCAGTATCCTGCAAGTTGCCAAAAAAGTCAATTCAGTCCTGGGCTGCATCAATAGAGGAATAGTATGAAGATCACATGTAGTATCACTTTATATTGCTTTGATAAGATCACACTTGGAATACTGCATTAGGTTTTGGTCACCATGATACAAAAAATAATGTGGAGACTTCTAGAGTATAGAGAAGAGCAACAAAGATGATTGAGGGCTGGAGGCTAAAACATACGATGTGTGACTCAGGAACTGGGTATGTCTAGTCTAATGAAGAGAAGGACTAAAGGTGACATAGTGACAGTCTTCCAATATTTCAGGGGTTGTCACATAAAAGAGGGGGTCAACCTATTCTCCAAAGCACCTGAAGGGAGGACTGGATAATGGATGAAAACATATCAAGGAGAAATCCCACTTGGAACTAAGGAGAAATTTCCTGATAATGAGAACAATTAATCAGTGGAACAAGTTGTCTCCAGAAGTTGAGGGTGCTCCATCATTGGAGTTTTTAAGAACAACTGAACAGCCATTTGTCTGGAATGGTATAGAGTTCTGCATGAGCAAGACTAGAAGACTTTCAAGGTCCCTTCCAACTCTGATATCCAGTTATTAAGGCTCTTCATGGCTTGGGGCCAGGTTGCTTGTGGAACTTTACTACCTGGTTGTATCTTTCTATCCTAGAAAGAGGACACCCTCCCTCTTTCCACAATCAAGTTTCCATCACTGTAATTTAGCAAATTCATTATGATCAAGTCAACTTTCACAATGTCCTCTAGATCTTAATTTTTGATGGATATGGAATTTATGCACCATTATCTTTTCTTGCCCATCTACAGCTGTTGTGAAATAGCAACTTGTTTTCTGTTTTGCAGTAACAGAACTCTACAAATGGTCCAGAATGCCATAGCTTCAGTAGTTTCCAGCATTCTCCTCATAACACACTACTTCAAGAACTGCCAGTTGGCTTCCAGGTATAATTGTTGGCAATCATTTGTTTAGGACCTAGGTACTTTAGGACTGACTTTTCCCTTCCTTCTGCCCACCAAATGAATCCCCACTCAAAGAGGGCCATTTTCAGAAATCACAGAAGCAAGAAGAATTCTCATGGAATATTCCCCTAAAAGTTTAAATGATCTTCTCTCTCCTGTTTTTTAGGGATCTCATTAAAACATGTTATTTCATAAGGACTTGAGAACTGGAACAGTTTGCCATGTCCTGTTTGTTGCTTTATGCTGCTAAATGTTGCCCTATTTTTATATGTAATATTTTATTGATTTTCTCATTTTATAATTGGATATTTAAAAAGCAACGTGATGACTGGGTTAATCAATAGTTCAATAGTGTACATAAATCTTTAGTATAAATCTTATGTTACAACATCAGATATTTCCTCTCTTTTTCCATTAATATCTGTTATCTCATATTAGGCTAGTACAATTCTTATTGTTATCAACTAAATTAAAAAAATCTTTGTTACAGTTATCAATAATTTTTAGCTTATACATATCTTAATTGCATTTGCACTTAATCCTTGTATACAAGGATTTTTTTTTCAGGCTTTAATTTAGGTGTTGTCTGGGTTAACCAATAATTCAGTAATATACATAAATTTTTAGTTTAAATCTAATATTAGAACATCAAATACTTCCTCTCTCTTTCCAATAATATCTGTTATCTCATATTGGGCAAACACAATTTTTATTTTCAACTAAGTAGAAACATCTTTGTTACATTTATCGATAATTTTTAGCCTATACATATCTTGACTGTGTTTGCACTTAATGTCCTTGTATAAACAATGTCCTGTTATTGCTTCCCCCCCAAACTTTAATTTCCCATCAATATTCAAGAAAACACTATTATTTATAATTTCCAAATACTTTATATTTAGGTGATCAAAAGCTTCCCTTATCTCAACTTCTCCCTTTTTCCCTTTTCATACCAAAGTCTAATATTCTAGTTACACATCTTATCTATTTAATTATAATGTTACTCTATTTTCTAAAAGTTATCTATTTTCCACCATATTCAACCATCTAGCTAGTAATATAATATCCTCTCTAATAAGTCAACACCATTATTTTCTTCAGCCTTACTCTGGCTTTCTTCCTTTGCCAGCTAACCTAACCTTCCATGTCAGTGCCTTTGAATCATCAAACCTCCTCCCTGTTGCTCCAATTTCCCACAATTCTCCTGATAACTTTATCTTCCATTCAATCTGTTCTTCTTCCTTTTCCTCAAATATATTGATTTCTTGATTTGTGAAAAGTTTTTTCCATTTTCAATGTTGTCACTCCATTTTCTGCTTTTTCAGTTGGCTGGGTCTGTTGGTTGGTTGGGTCCTCTGTCTTAGCGTTTAGTTGTTCCAATTTTCCTTTTGTTTTCTGCATTGTTACTTCTTTGCTTGTAATCAAGATCTGGGTTTGTATATTTAAGCTAGAACATTGTTCCTTTGTGTTGCTTCTTATTTTATCACAAGCTGAAAGGATAGTTTTGTGTATTGATTTCAACATGGAAAGGATTTTTTCCTGATCTTCATCCATATTTTCTTAATATGTTAAGTTGAAGACTTTAGAATCAAACGTTAAAAATAATTTTTGTCTTTTTTAGCTGGGTATGGGACATCTGTTTCATGTTTTATAGGTGGTTTTATAGGTGGTCTTTATAATAGAAATTGTTTATCAAGTAAGAGTATATAATCCAAGGTGTTCCATCATTTTGTGTAATAATATATGCTTCTCATTCAGGGAAATAGGAAAGCAGTTCCTCAAGCATAGCTCTGAAAGTCAGTAAAAGTTTACATTCATAGTTCAGGCAGGCCAGCTTCCAAAACAGTACCTGCCACATAGATAAGCCACCCAGAAATCCCTTCTTTGCAGCTGGTTTTTTCAAAGTTAGTAGCTGTCAAAGCCAAACAAATTTTATCTGAAGTCTTGGCTTCAAGCCAGGATTCTTTTAGTAAATAACAAATTGTAATACCATAATTAGTCACAAGATGTCACCAACAACGTTTTATAGCTTTTTAAGTCCAAAATTTATATGGTGGTTTTTCAAGTCTTTTTTTTAAAACCAACAGTCTCCAATAAGAAAAAAGAACACTTTTAGTCCCCAAGTTTCAAAAGAATATATATCCAATTAGATTAAAATTAATCTTATAGTTGCTCTGTTTCCCCTGGGTAGTTAGTCGCCGCTTTTCTTAGAGGGTGGGGTAAAAATTCTAAAACTTAGAATCTTAAAGAGAGGATCAGGTCTCACCCAGTTTCATCTGCGTTGCTTGAAAGTTGCTTGGTGGTGCTTTTGACCTGAAACCAAACGGGGGTCCCCTCCCTTCTCATTGCCTCTTGGGACAACTTTCGACCCTTTCCAGGGTCCCCCAGCGGAGCGAATTCAGGCGCAAAAGATGGAGCCCCATCTTCCTGTGTCCATGGAGCCGTGACGTCAAGCCAGAAATCATGTTGCCATATATTTTAATGAATTGTGGCTATGCTATTTTATTGTAATATATGGTTTGGGATATATGTGTGTGGGATTACTTAAGATTAACTAAAAAGTAAATCATTGTTAACTGCATTTGATATAAGGTATAATAATACGACTTCAATAGGGTTTCTACTCATCATGATTAAACCCTTCAATAGGGTTTCTACTCATCATATTTAATGTATTAAATATAATGCATCAAAAAACTTCTTAAGAATTCAGCCTATTTTTCAGGTTCAGCTACTTCAGTTGAGATGTTAAAAGGCTAGAGAGCAGGGAATGTGGAACATTCACTAAACATCAGTATCTAGCACAAATTAAATCATACCTCCATCAATGCCCATTACGAATCGGCCCAAAATAATCATTTCCAAGATTCCTGCCAGCTGTGAGATGGCCATAAACAATGCAGCCATAATGGCAAACACATTATTTAGCAGCAGAGTTTGCTTTCTGAAAAGAAACAAATTACTTATTACATCCTTACATTGCCAGATAAATAGCCAGATAAATAAATAATTAAAGGTTATTACAACAGATAGAATAAGTCAAAAGTATACCTATAATGCCAAAATTAAGGGTATAAAAATATCCTTCAAACTGCATAGTAGAAGGCAATGGAAAACATTTCTTTATTTTACACAGACAAACTGGATAGACAGGATAAAGATAGCTCAAAATCTTGGGAAAAAAGTACTGTAGAACAAATGAATCTTGCCAAGGAGTCTCTTCAGAATTTGTCTTAAATTAGATGGGACAACCAGTAGCCCCAGAACTGTGCAGGTTTCAGAATAACAGAGTTGGAAGGGACCTTGGAGGTCTTCTTTTCCAACCCGCTGCTCGACTAGGAGACCATACATCATTCCAAATAAATGCCTATCTAGTTTCTTTTTAAAAACTTCCACTGATGGAGCACCCACAATTTCTGAAGGCAAGCCGTTCCACTGGTTAATTGTTCTGACTGTGAGAAAAATTATCCTCAATTCTAGGTTGCTTCTCTCCTTGATTAGTCTCCATCCATTGTTTCTTGTCTTGTCTTCTGGTGCTTTGGAAAATAGGTTGACCCCCTCTTCTTTGTGGCAGCCCCTCAAATATTGGAACACTGCTATCATTTTCCCCTAGTCATTCTTTTCACTAGACATATTCCTGCAACTGTTCTTGATATGTTTTAGCCTCCACGCCCCAAACATCTTGGTTGCTCTTTGCTACACTCTTTCCAGAATCTCAACATTTTTTTTATAATATGGTGACCAAAACTGGATGCAGTTTTCTAAGTATGGTCTTAGTAAGGTCATGGGATCTTGATTCTACCCCTTTGTTAATGCAACCTAGGATTGCATTGGCTGGTGCTGCACACTATTGACTCATATTTAAGTGACTGCCAACTAGGACTCCAAGATCCCTCTCACATTCAGCAATATAGACTGTCTGTTTTCAAATGACGCACTAAAATACGATGCGGATCTTCAACAATGGCCCAGTCTATTATAGATTACTCTGGAGGGTCTCTAATCGTGTTAGGTGCTAAGATAATGAGCAGGATTCAACAATATTGTCGCTCAGTTCTCCCACAAATGTATAGAACAACTGTAACTTTTTAGTTTTTTCATATTTCTTTTTTGTGATTTTAAGTTTTATGAATAAAAGAAGAAAACCAAATGTTACATAAATGTCAATCTTTTACATTCTCATTTTTTAAAAAAGTGTCTAAAATTTGATAAAGTAGAGGTAGTCCCGAACCTTTTAGAGACCGAGTGCCCAAACTGCAACCCAAAACCCACTTATGTATCATCGGGTGCAGGGTGGGCGTGGCCTGTTGGGTGGGCGTGGCCTGTTGGGTGGCATGGCCTGTTGGGTGGGCATGGCTGTGGTGGTAACAGCAGACTGGATGGGACTAAAAAGTTCAATCAATCAATTCCAACTTTGCGAGATCTTTTTTTTCCCCGCGAGAAGTTGAAATTGATTGATTGAACTTTTTTTTTTTTGCACATGGCGGCCAAGGCCTAAAGCGAAAAGGTTTTATAAAATCCAGCTGAAGGCCTAGGACGTGTGCCCACAGAGAGGGCTCTGCGTGCCACATGTGGCACGCGTGCCATAGGTTCGCCACCACGGCCCTAGACATTCAATCTAGGGAGATATGTTGTTTCCCTGGAGCAAAAATCAAAGATGTGACTGAGAACCTTACTAAAATAATTAACCCCATAGATTACTACCCCTTTCTTTTTCACGTGAAGACTAACAACACAACAATGAACCTGAAAACAATAACAAGAGCAGCTAGGTAAGAAAGTTAAGGACTTAGGAGCACAAGCATCTATATTTCTGACAAAAGGCCAACATCCTATGAGGGAGCAACAGATTTTAGAAATGAACCACTGGCTTAGGTGCCATCAAGAGAACTTGACCATGGTCTGGATTACCTACATGAAGGCTTCTTGCAAGGGATGGGCTGCACCTCACAAGAACCTGGAAAAATATATTTAGAAAATGATTGGCTCATCTTATCAGAAGGACTTTAAATTAAAATATGACTTTTAAGACCTAATTCCAAGCAAAAACCTCTAGACAACCAACCAAATACAGAGGTAGAAAGTGAAGGGAAAGAAGAGAAACTCAGATGCAAAGTAGGAGATGTAGGAAGCATACCCAGGGTCAGCCACAAAGAACTTAAAGACCTATATAGTAATGCTCAAAGTTTAGGGAAGAAACAGGGTGAACTTGAAGTACTAGTACATGAAGGTAGGTATGATATAGTTGCCATTACCAGAAACTCGTGATTGGAATGTACTGATTAAAGGATACAAACTATTCAAAAGAAACAGACCTAACAAAAAAGGAAGTGGAGTTGCATTATATATAAGAGATTACCTCCTCTCTACAAAGATGCATAAAACCAAGGATGAAAGCCTGCTAGAATGCATATGGGTCAACATAAAAGGAAAAAAGAATGGCATTGCCATATGTGTATACTACAGGCAACCCAACTAAGTAAAAGAAATAGATGAACTATTTGCTAATCAGTTAACAAATATATGAAGGAAACCCACCAGAATAGTAATGGGGGATTTTAATTATCCTGACATCAATTGGGAGACTAACTCTGCAACAAGTAGGAGGTCGAACAGGTTGTCAACCTAGCTGACAACTTTGTCACTCAAAAGGTAGCAGATGGAACTAGAGGGGCAGCTATACTGGACCTAATTCTTACTAACACAGAAGATATGATAGATGGGATTGACATTTCAGGAACTTTTGGGAGAGTGACCATGTCATTTTAGAATTCAATATAATACAGGCCCAAGCAACAGAACATAATCAAACCAATATCTTAAACTTTAAAAGAGCTAATTTTAAAAACTCAGAGAAATATTGGGAAGGAACCAATGGATAAAAATCTTAAAGGGGAAGTCAACTCAAGAAGCTTGGGGAACTCTGAAAAATATGATTATAAAAGCCCAAGCCAGCATAATACCACTGAAAAAAAAACCAAGAAAAAACCAGCATGGTTGCCCAAAGAACTCTTAGACAAACTGAAAGGAAAAAAAAGATAAATACAAAAATGGAAAGAAGAACACATAACTAAGGCAGAATATCAACAAATAGCCAGAACCTGCAAAGATGAACTTAGGAAAGCTAAGGCTCAGAATGAAGTAAAAGTTGCAATAAATGTCAAAAATAATAAAAAAAAAACAAGAAAAAAGTCAAAGAAATAATTGGTCCACTAATGGGAAATGATGGCAAGGAAGTAATGAGCAGTAGAGAGAAAGCAGAACTGCTTAATTCATTCTTTGCATCTGTCTTCATACAAAAAGATAATACAACCCAACTTACCAAAAACAGAACCATAAAAGACAGGCTAGGAATGCAAATTAAAATAAGCAAAAATAAGGTAAAAGAACACCTGTCAGTTTTAGACAAATTCAAATCACTGGGTCCTGATGGATTATACCCCAGATTTCTGAGGGAACTGGCAGATGTGATCTTTGAACCACTGATATATATCTTTCAAAGTTCTTGGAGCACCGGGGACTACCTGAGGACTGGAAAAGAGCTGATCTTCTTCATCTTCAAAAAGGGGGAAGAATAGATCCAGGAAACTACAGACCAATTGTGATGACCCAGGGCCCCAAACAGAGGCAAAGCAATCAGCTGGCCCGAGCAATAGTCTTTTTAATCACTGCCAATGTTCACCTAACAGCCCCCACATATGCTGGCACGAGTTCAAACAAAACAGCCAGGGAAGTTTACACTGTTCTTAAAGCAAGACAGATAACAAGCAAATGTATAATCCTTTTAACTCCCAGCTTGCCTGTGAACTGCCAACTGCCAACTGCAGACTGCAAGGAGAGATCAGCAGGAAGAAAACTGGTCCAGAATACAAAGTGTCCAGGTTACAAGAGCACACTATCTCAAGATTTCATGTTTGTTCCCGGCAAATGCCCCACCCCACAGCGTCTCCTTAAATCCTACTCCCCAGGTGTACCTTGTGGAGTGGGGCGGGATGCTCTCCTCCGGAGCAAGTGAGCCTGCCTCCATTGTTCCCTCCTCCTCTCTGCTCTCCTTGCTCTAGGATCAGTTGGGGAAGGGCCTTGCTCCTCGCCTGAACTCTGCCTTCCCTGTTCCAAACCTGAAGGGCCCTGGCCTGCCTCAGCCTGCTCTTCCCCACAGTCCTCCGAAGCCACAGACACCCCCTCCTGGGCCTCAACAGGGAACTCCATGTCTTCCTCAGGGTCAGGCTCGGACGGAGGCATGACACCAATCAAGCTAACATCACTACTTGGAAAGTTCTTGGAAAAGATAATCAAGCAACAAAACTGCAAACACCTAGAAGCAAACAAAGTTATAACCAGAAGCCAACATGGGTTTGTCAAAAACAGATCATGACAGACAAATCTAATTTCATTTTTTAGTAAAGTGACCAAATTAGTAGACCAGCGAATGCTGTATACTTGGACTTCAGTAAGACATTTGATAAAGTAGGCTTCCGGTTTCGTCACGCAGCCACCATGGATGGCTGGGAGATATGCTCTCTCTCCCCCGTTCAGTTTTGCATCGCTCGGGGGCCCTGAAAAGGGCCGAAAATCACCCCAAAGAGGCAATCAGCAAGGAGGGGCTTTTGCTGGATCGCAGGAGTGTAGCAACGCTCCTGTTAGACCTGGCAATCTCTCCAAACCGGTGAACAAAAGGACCAGCCATAGAAATATGGCTCGTCCCTAGACTGCTAACAGCTGAAGTCACATTAACATCTGGCAACTTCAAAGCAGCGTGGAATGGATTGGGTGAGATCTGCCTCTCTTACATCCTAATTACTTAATTACCTGCATAAGCTGCTAAAGTACTTTCTCCCCTGTGGTGAGGGAAGGGGGATTTTAGCCCTCCCTCCAGAAACAGCGGCTATCAACCACTTGGGAGTCTAAAACGTTGGAAAAATACTGGGATCCTAATTGGAATTC